CCACCATGGCAGGGGGGGGGGGGGCGGTTGATCTGGAATATCTCACTTCAGTATACTGCTACCCCGCCTGGCCCCCAAAACCCTTAAAACAGCCCAAGAGGCAGTTATCGAGCCATTCTTTTGGTGTTCAGGTACTTATGGGCTCATGCAAGATTCTTTGCCTCAACCTTCGTAGCATGACTATTGACTGAAGCCTCCGGATTGATGGCAGCGAGTGCTTGTTGCAGGCAGCGGCTGGAGTCGTGTAGCACGTCAGCAATGCTAGACTTTAGCTGGGCTGCTGTTAAGGAAATTAAGTTACTAGTATAAGCAACCCTGTTTTTTTTTGCCATGTACGCATATCATGGTATGACTTAGAATCCTTATCAACTTTGGTTAAGCTGGCTTCAGGGATTATACTCATTCTTTTCATCCTTTCGCAACAGGGGTGATTTGTTTTGGTTTTAGTGGTTGTGTTTTGGTTACAGTACTATTGCCTATATATTTAGTGCCCGTTTCCGCATCGGCGGGCCTGTGGCACTTTGCATCAACGAGTTTCAGATCGACTTTTTGGGGGTGGTCTAAAGGGGGCAGAGGTGTACGAGAAATGCAGGCTGCATGCTGACGTGGATTCAGTTAGGGTTTGACCCTAAGCCCTATAAATCCTAAACCCAAAACCTTAAACCCAAACCCTAAGCCCTAGACCCTAAGCCCTAAACCCTAAATCCTAAACTCTAACGTAAATCCGTACAGGTTTCAGGGCTTGGGTTGCATAAGCCACTTTGACCACCTCTTGAGGCCGCAATGAGTTTTTTGGCACAGACCAGTGTCGCCTTCCTAGCATTGCGAGCAGCACAAACCTATGAGAAGTCCTGGGGAAGCCTATGAGGCTTATAGGGTTTGGGGTTTTGGGGTTTGGGGTTTTAGGGTTTAGGGTCTTGGGGTAGTTATCAGGTAGCATATTGTGAGTTATATAGGGCTACTATCCCGAGAAAAGGTTTAGCGTTTAGGGATATTCCTTTCAAAATGAAGAAAGAAATGGAAGAGAACATGGAGCATTGATTTGACATAGGGGTTATATAGGGGCTTGAAAGCCCTAAACCCTAAACCCTGAAATGATAGTTACGAATATCATGGTCCTAGGTTCATTGTATGCTTCTCTAAGGGTCCAAATACCCAGTAATCATGCACTTGCGCAAAACCTGTACTGAAATCATTATTACCCAAAACCCAAGTATCTAATTATTGGGTACATGGACCCTAAACCCTAAACCCGATATACCCCTATATATCCCCCTTTAAAGGGGACCTAATTATTGGACCCTCTGGGCTACCTCAAAAAGACCTCGGCATGATATTTATCGAGGCCCCTTCAGTAGGTCAGCAGCTGACCGTGATTTAGGGCTTTGGTCTTAGGATCTAAGATTTGGGAGTTTTCAGTTTAGGATTTAGGGTTTGGGATTTAGGGTTGAGGGTTCAGGATGCCCAGTTATGAGCCTCTACCGCTCTCAGCAGAACTCCCACATTGGAAGTAATGACAAGTTGTAGCTGAGATTTGCAAGAGGGGGCTTTGGGCTTAGGATTTTCAACAGTTTTAGCACCCCCGAGCGGAAGAAGGACCCCGTTATGCTCAAGTGATAGTTTTGCTTTGGGTCGGGTCGTGGGGTACTCGAACTTTATTATCGTACGTAGGGGACCCTAAACCACTAAACCCTAAACCCTAAACCCTAAACCAGCAGGCTGCACTCATCCCCTTCTTCAAGCAGCGCCCTGGGGATCATCATGAGACTGTTAGAATACGGCTGGTACTAAATGCATGACTTAAGTTTTTAGAACTCTGGGCGTTAGTGATCTTGCATTTGGGGAGGAAATTCATTCGGTTTAGGGTTTAGGGTTTAGGCTAAACCTAGACTGTGTGTGGCGAGACGTAGCACTGTTGAGCTGCTAGGGAGGCCGGGGCAGATTTATTTCGGCGAAGCTTTGGGACAAAGCCTTAAAGCAGAGGGTCCATGTACCATTCCCTTTGGGTCCAAGTGCCCAATAATTAGGTCCCTTTAAGCGGATATATAGGGATATACAAGGGTATATAAGGGTATATAAGATTTAGTGTTTAGGGTCCAAGTACCCAATAATTTGAGATTTGGGTAATAGTAACTCTAGTAGTATTGGTTTTGGGCACGTACATGATTATTTGGCATTTTGCACCCTTGGGGTAAGCCCGCCCAAAAGTACGTGAATTAATTCAGGGTTTAGGGTCAAAACTCCCTGAAGGCGGTCAAAAGGGTCAACATTCTACATACTTTGGAGCTCTAGGAGGGCTGAGGGCGCAAGTTGGGTTGTGAGTATTTAGGGTGTAGTGTTTAGGCTTACGATTTTTAGGATTTCGGGGATTTCAGGCTTAGGTTAGGTCCATCATGACGATGGGTGGACATAGGAGCCAGAGGAATCACTTTATTACTTATGGCAAGAAGTGCGTGCACTTGGTCCTTTTTAGTCGTTCGACTTACCACCTCTAGGTATTAGGGTTTTACCCTAAACCCTAACCATGCTTTAGGGTTTAGGGGTCTACCCTAACCCCAATCCTGCCCCCTAATTTTGAAGATGTGCTGGGAGACATTGTTCATGTTGAGAGGGAAGGGGCGTGTGCAATGCAAGGGAAAATGAACCTCCCATGCAACTGTAGGAGCCCTAAACGGGCCCACGACACGAATCCCTCATACGTTCCATGAATTGTAGGAGCCTTAAGGTTAGGTTTTGGGTTTAAGGTTTGGGGTTTAGGGGTTTAGGGTTTAAGGTTTTGGGTTTAAGGTTTGGGGTTCAGGGGTTTAGGGTTAAAGCTTTGGGGTTTAGGGGTTTAGGGTTTGGGTTTGGGGTTTAGGGGTTTAGGGTTTAAGGTTTGGGGTCTGGGATACGAATCCTTCACACATTTTGGAGTATGGTGGTGAGATGCGTGGACTGGAACCAGCCTGTTTTCTTCCTGGGGGAAGGGGGCTAGGTAAACCCTAAACCCTAGACCCTAAGCCCTGAATCCTAAACCCAAAACCCTAAACCCTAAACCCTAAACCCTAAATCCTAAATCTTAAATCCTGTTTTCAGAAATTGCGAGGTATATCTGAACTCCGGGGAGCCCTGGGGCACCGACGATGGCGG